GCGTAGGGGCTAGATGTTCGCATGCGAATCAGAAGGTTGTGGGTTTGCTCCCTGGTGCAGCCTGACTTTTTTCACAAGTGATCTTGACCCCCAGGTTGACCCAGTCTTGAGTGCAGTCCCAGGAAGTAAAGGCGGCTGGCGTGATGCCTACTACATCACCCATCTTGTGCTGATTGGTCTATATAAAGTATAGGTCTACCCCTATACACCTAAAGGTGTGCAAAAGGGAGCTTTACATTTTACCAAGTACTGCATCAGTGTACACTTTTAGCAGGATTGCTCAAACACTCTTCTGCATTACCAGCTTGTTTTAGTAACTTGGTGTGTGCTGTGCAGGCGCTGGTAATATTGGCATACGATATTCCATCTATCCATCACTTGTGTGGTCTACCTCTGATATTCGTCTAGACAGCCCCTTCCCCATCTTTAATCTTCTTCTTCTTCTTCTTCTTCTTCTTCTTCATGTTCACCAGCTGTAAGCTCTGAGGGAAAGTTCTGGTTGTTCATCCACTTCTGACTGCAGTACTGTTCCAGAACCTGAGTGTTGCGTCTGCATCCGTTTTACAGATCTTACTCATTTGTATGCAGACTGCTGGTTCTTTGCCTCTCAGGCAGATGCACTCCGGCTTTGAAGAAAGCTCCAAATTAGTCGACTTTTACGACATGCTTTCGGGTAGGCAGCTGCTCTTCAAACTGTTTCAGAACTTGCTGAAACAGGCTTTCTAGATGCTGTTTAGATCCTGGTTGTGTGCCACCGAAAGCTCAAAATGTTCCCGAACAGACACCACAAGAAATACTGAATTATTCTTAACATGCAATCAATAAAATATTGCAGTATCACCGTGCATATACATGATATAATACATACATTCCCTCTCTTGTATAAGCTTTCTTCTGTATTACATACAGTCTCTGTAAAATATATATTGTTATCATTTCTGAGAAATCAAAAATAAACAATATTACCACATGCTGAGACAGGTTAACATTAACATATGCTGAGACAGGTTAACATTAACATATGCTGAGACAGGTTAACATTAACATGTGCTTTTTCTCCCTTGCACCTCAGCCCCTGTAATCATTTATTCTGTTCTCTTTTTAGAGACAATCAAGAGACATTCATATATAGTGAGACAGATTAACACGTGATTGTCACAATCATAAAGTAACATATGAGACATGTGCAAGTATGAGACAGTATAGTAAAAGTTGAGATGATCGACTTCATTGCATCAGGTTTTATCCGAACTGGCTAATTTTTATCCCATATGGCTCATTTTTATCCCAAATGTCTCGGTCTTTCCGCAGAATGGCTCGGTCTTTCCGCAGAATGGTTCGGTCTTTCCGCAGAATGGCTCGGTCTTTCCGCAGAATGGTTCGGTCTTTCCGCAGAATGGCTCGGTCTTCTTGCAAAACGGGGTAGCCGTCTACCAAAAGTGTCACACAAACAGAGTGACTATTCATTCCGTTTTTAGATGTGTCCGATCAATACCGCCAGTTGTCCCATTTGATACAAATCTAGGACTTAGCTAGAGAATAATATATACACACTTGTAGTTGTATCAGTAGACCTTAGTAGATTTCATAGTTTTAGGTACTTTTAATGCCTGAAATATATTTATTGGCATTTATATTGTAGCATGCTTTTATTTAATAAGTGGCATTTATAATTTATATACTTATATATACTAGTGTTCTTAAAATGTATCAGCTTCTCAATTAATAATAATAAAAAATTATATTTAAAAAAAAAAATTGGCGCGGGGGGGGGGGGGGGGGGAGGGGGGTTAAACTGATATGCTTGGAATGTCCTGTTTTCATCTTGGAATGTCCTGTTTTCAGCTTGGAATGTCCTGTTTTCAGCTTGGAATGTGCTGTTTTCAGCTTGGAATGTTCTGTTTTTGGCTTTAAAAGTCCTTTTTTGGCTTGGAATGTCCCGTTTTCAGCTTGGAATGTCCCGTTCTTAGCTCAGGATGTTATGGCTACCCTACACATAAGACATGAACTCAGTAGCTCTGGCAATGAACCCCATGGATTCTCATACAAATTGCACTCGTGAACTAAACAAAGCAGTCGTGAAATGAACCTACGAACTCCATAGCACAAGGCTGATTGTTTGATCACTTTGCTATGGGGACCCCCTGTATATAGTGAGGCGGCGAGACAAAACTGCCTGTTACCCAAAAATAACCATAAAAGAAGAAACTGGAAATATCACAAACTTAAAACATCTTAGGTTCATAATTTGAGCGATGGTGACGCTAAAATATAGTGAGACAGCTGAATACAAAACTGAAACAATCACAGAGTATTTTATGGGAATGGGTACAATACAGAGCAGTAATCAATGAGGATTATCATCACTGCACTCAAGACAGATCCATAGATGCTCGAGTCTCCTCCTCAGTAGCACCACAATGTAAAATCATAAACACAGTAAATAACCCCTGCTTCAGTCTCACTAAGCAGATCTTACCATGCATCCTTCTCAGATTAACTATATACTGAACATAAAACATAAAGAAGTAAACTCTACCCTTCACTGTTGTAAGCCTGTATTCTAACATCCTGTTATTATTATCCCAGTGTGAAATTAATATAAAAAAACATCAATTTTGGCAGTTAGTCTAACATTCTCTTGTGGGGCTTATTTTGGCATCAAATGTGAAATGAATCGCTAATATGGACATAGGGTAGGTGATGAACATTTTGACTAAACACATACTACAGTGCAGACCTGATAAGGAGAACTCACGGTGGGGGGGGGGGGGGGGGGGGTCCCCTTATCAAACATTCCTCTTATCCAGATAAGAGTTCAAGAAAGAAAAATTGCCAGGGGTACAAAATTGTTCTTCACAACAAAACCTTTCTTACATCCAAGATTGCTGTACCTGGTCTGCATGGTACACTATGTTCATTCTGAACTAGCTCAAAAAGCGGTCCCTAAATATCCCCCATGTCGTTGGGCTTTTAACTATTTGAGACTTCTCTTTTCTTGCTTCTGTGTTTGCCCTAAAAGGTGGCTGGCAAACTGACTTGAGGTTTACAGCTAGGCTGCAATATCTGCACCTTACAGCTAAAAATGTCAGATTTCCATCTTTCTTAATTAGTTGCTTTTTTTGCAGTTAATCGTTGAAGGGGCAGTGGATTCTCCCCCCCTTCTCTGCCCAAAGTGGAGCCCAGAACCCACACAGGAAGCTGAAACTCTAAAAGTCCATCGTCATTATGTGCTGTGCTGTGCTAATAAACATAGGCTGTCATGTTTTGCCATTTCATACCATTGCTGTAATCATGATGGATCAAGTCAGTGTTCTTGTCTTGCCCCCAACCATATGGCTAAGCCTTCCAATTGCTCTCTTTCCATCAATCTTGTCTGTTGTTACCAAGTTGTTAAGTCCACTCCTTCTCACAACATGTCTGAAACACACTGACTGCCTATAGTCTTTTCTATTTAGTCTAGCTCTAAGGCCAACAGAGAATTTTGTGATTGTATGCTCAAACGTCTTGAAAGATCTGAACATCAAGGAAGATTGGCTAATAGACAGCATCCTTTCTCGAAAGCTGAAATATTTTGGTCATATCAAGCGCCACGATGGATTCGAAAAAATTATAGCAGATGGCATGGTACCAGAAGGAGTGGCAGAGGCCGAGCGACACAAAGATGGGCACAGGATATAAGTGACTCCTTTAGTGTGAAAGTGCATGAGGCGGGAGAACTGGCGACAGACCGAGTTTTTCCTCAGACAGACCGTGATGAGAGCGACGTTCTGCAAAGGACCTGCTACATGATGATGATGCTCAAACGGGGCTATAATATTGGTGTCTCATCTGATTATTTTTCAACATATTAGAGATGATTTGATAAAATTGATGACTTATGTTGTCATTGAATATATATTGCTAGTAAAACAAAAGTAAAGAAAAAAAACAAAAGGTGTCTGACTTCGACATAGGGGGCTAGACCAATATTTTATAGACTAATCCGCACTAGGTTGGTGATGTAGTCAGCATCATGCCGACCACCTTTACTTCCCAGGACTGCACCTGGTACCCACTCAAAGAATGTTTGTTGTAAATCAGGTAAATTAGACCTCGTAAAAAGCATTGAGTCTTGTAATTCAACAAGATGCTAGTAAAGTAAATCAGGCAATACGATAAATGCTTAATCCAGTAATTCTGTAACACCTGATATATTTCAGGTAATTAGACCATTCAATAGATGTCATCTTGTCATTCAACATATGACAGTTGTCAGGTTAATTTGATTGTAAAATAGTGTTAAATCTTGTAATTCAACAAATGACTGGTGTCAAGTAAATTAGATTATTAAAAAAGGGTTTGATTTTGTAATTCTTCAACAAATGATAAGTGTTAGATAAATTAGATTAAAATTTAGTGCCAAGTCCTGTGATTTAACAGATGACGAGTGTAGAATAAATAAGACCATACAAAAGATGTGTAATCTTGTAATTCTTAAAAATATTATGGACATTAGATAAACTAGACCATAAAATAGATGTCTTATCTTTAGATACAACAAGTGTCTTATCTTCAGTACATGATGGATATCTGATTTATCAGATATCCATCATGTACTGAAGATGTCTTATCTTCAATACATGATGGATATCTGATAAATCAGACTACAAGTTTAGATATTTGCCTATAATAATTGTTCTACACATAATTTGCTCAGAATACAAATAATTCAACTATGTTCATCTGGTAAATTAGACGTAAATTAGATGTGGATGTTTGCCCCATAATCATTGTTCTACACATGGTTTGTTTAAAATATAAAATTTAGCTACGATTGTCTGATAAATTAGACCAGAAATTTAGATGCTTGCTCCATTGCACATGGTTTGTTTAATATATAAAATTCAGCTATGATTGTCTGATAAATTAGACCAGAAATTTAGATGTTTGCCCCATAATCATTGTTCTAAACATTGTTTGTTAACTGTAAAATAATTCAATTATCAAAAGTATTCTACCTATTTTTCATCTACCCTAGCGTCATCTTCTACTGGTACCTGAAGTTGTTCTTTAACTTTGACCTCATCTTTAATTTTGCTTGCTTCCTTCTTCTTCTTTTTCTTCTTCTCATCTTTTTGTCTCGTATCCTTCTCAGTTTCTTGTTCTGTTTTGATATTTGTTTTTTGTTCTTCAACTTCCTTTTCCGCATTCTCATCCTTCTGTTTTGTTTCTTTCTTTGTTTTGTCTTCTTGTGTTTCATGTGCTGATTTTCTGCCTGATTTCCCACTTCGGGGCGTCTTCTTTTCCTGAAAACAAAAAACAAAATGATAAAGACTGTGAAAAAACGTGGTAGTGCATAAGCTATACTAAGTCTATAGTGTGTCTGTTGCCTTTATTTCAGTTTCCAGGGCAGTGTAGGACAGGGAGACATTGAGACTGAATATTTTGAGCTGCAATAAACATTCCGGGTTAAAATGTTAATTTTCTTTCTCCTGACAGGAAAAACACACATGTCCATTTATCTTACCGAGTATTCAAACCCAGGTCTCCAGCCTGAGAGCCCAGCATTCTAAGCACTCAGCCAGCCGCTCGTCATATATGATGGTAGCCCTATATTTCGATAAACCCACGAACATTAGATGGTGGTTTTTTTATAAGCCTTTATTTCACAGGACACTTCCTGCTACCCAGTTTAGGCTGGACCAGTCTCCAAGCCAAGGTCAGTCTCAGGACTGTGTTTTTGCCCCTGGCAGAATGCAGATTATTCATGGCTTTTCTAATGATCAGAACTCAGATCTCTCTTTTGAACAGGCACATTTCTAAACTGCTCGATCAACCACTTCTTAGTCAAATTTAAACCAAAAAGAAACATACAAAAACTATCAATCTGTCACATTTTAAAATTTGAAAAAACTATGATTCAAACCTCTGACCAACAAATGAGTACGCCCAAACACGACTGGATTTGTTAAATTAAAAATATAATCAAGTGCTAGACTTTTCTGTGTTGTTTCTGAAATCCCAATTTTGGGAGGGTGGTGGGAAGACTAAAGTCCAGAAGTGGATGACTAACTTGCTCCCAGAGTTTACAGCCAGTGAATGCGAAGAAGAAGAAATGCTAGACTATCTGACCTGGGAACACAGGCGGATCATCCTAGTACATGCATTGTGAGACACTGTGAGCTGAAGATTTCCTGTAGATGCTTTTCAACTGTGCCCAAGGTGGTTTGTGTTGTAATGAACTGCATATTTAGAAAATGGCCGGTGTCCTGCTGCCTTAGAACTGGCTGTGTCTAATACAGTAATACATGTGCAACTGCTGATTTGAAATGACTGGAGTTTCCATGGACAATAAACTGCAATTCTTTCAGTAAACAATACGTGTTGGTAACTGCCTTGAATATTTAATATTTTTGTGTACTGCTGGCTATGCTAGGACTGCACTCGGTTCAGTTTTTTTACCACAGGGACAATGATAGACATTCTATGTGATTTTTGCTAGCATTGAAATGGAGCCATTTTAGGCTGACCTGTTTTTCTGTCAGTAAGGAATTGTTGCTAACGACTAGAAGCTAGTTGTCTGTCCTCTACAGGGCGCTGCAGAACCAAACCCAGTCGTCTTTTGGCTATTTGTGGTTTTACTAGGGAATTTTATGCTTAGTAGTTTGCCACTGCTTTCCCAACAGTGTGCTCTTGATACCACTGTCTATAACAGAGTCAGTCTGCTGCCAAATTTTCCACAGCGGGAACTGAACCCGGCACCTCAGAATTACGATAAGCCTTCCCAATCCCTAAGCCACAGATGCCGACTGCTGTTAACTAAACCATATATACCTTCCTTGCCGCATGAAAAATGGTCCAGCCAACAGCATAAACACAATGTCTGGCTACCAGTTCCCTTACCTTGATCCACCAGTCAACCGGATACGCTGAAATGTTGTCCATGAACTTCTGGTTCTTTTCCCATTCAAGCTGCCACTTCTGATGGTTGTATTCCGGTTTCCTCATGTTGATACGATACAGGATCAGCTGGTTTTCTTTGGTTACTCGCAGGAGCTCACGCTTTCTTTTTTCAAGGTTGAGGCTGTATGATATATCAAATTATGTACATATGAACTATAGACTACAAGACTCGACAAATACCATTACAGTATGGACAAAAAACAATGCAACGGTATTGACAAAATATTGCAACAATATAGACAAGATACTGCAACAATACAGGAAAACTATTGCAATAACAGGGACAAAATATTGCACCAATATGGACAAATATTGCAACAATGGAACAGAATACTGCAACAATGTGCACAAAATATTGCAACAAAATGAATAAAATATTGCAACAATGTGCACAAAATATTGCAACAAAATGAATAAAATATTGCAACAATGTGCACAAAATATTGCAACAATATGGACAAATATTGCAACAAAATGAATAAAATATTGCAACAATGTGCACAAAATATTGCAGCAAAATGAATAAAATATTGCAACAATGTGCACAAAATATTGCACCAATATGGACAAATATTGCAACAAAATGAATAAAATATTGCAACAATTTGCACAAAATATTGCAACAAAATGAATAAAATATTGCAACAATCTGCACAAAATACAAATAATAATAAAAGTAAATGTCCCTTTTCCCGGCCTTTAGGCGTATTGGGAATATACGGCTAGACCTACATTATTACAGACCAATCTGCACTAAGTTGGTGATGTGGTCAGCATCACGCCGGCTGCCTTTACTTCCCAGGACTGCACCTGGACCCACTCAAGGCTGGGTCAACCTGGAAGTCAAGGTCAGGACGCGAACCCAGGACCTTCCGATCCGCAGGCGGGCGTCTAGCCACCAACCCCAGAGTGACTCCCACTAATAATAATATGCAACAACAACAAAAACATTTTTTTTTAATCCTTTGGATGACATTTAACAATCCAAGATAAACATTTTTTAAACATAAAATAATTTCCGGTGCTTTATTAATATCCTACCACAGATTACGTCACAGGACATCCAACATTTTAGAGGGTGGTAGGACTGAGTTTCCCGGCTTTCTGATGCTTTTAACGTCCCCATACATCTAGAACTGGCCCTAACCCTAACCCACCTACATCCCACGAGAGAGTGCAGCCTAGGTCCCATGATTGCATGCAGCCTATCTACCACCCCCTGAAATATTAGACTGTCCTGTGACTTGTGGATTTCACCTGTTTGGTGTAGGATATTAATAAAGCACCTATCTTCCTTTGCCATTTTCAGTTAGCAAACACTGACCTTTTGTTCATGTAGTTGTTTCTGTTGTCAACTCTGCCTCTGGTCCTCATGATATAAGACATTTTCTCAAGAAGAAGTCTGTTATCTCTCTCAATTGTAGACAGTCGCTCTTCTTCAAGCTGTGTTTAAATGCAATGTTTTTACCAACTGTTAGGGCCATCAATCAAACAACAGGATAATCTTTCAATCTCAATGTTTGATCAAATCACAAAGGTCGAAGGTCTTCATTCTTTATTCAAATAAGAAGATAATCTTCATCCAAAGAAGACAATAATCTTCATCCAAAGAAGACAATAATTTTCATCCAAAGAAGACAATAATCTTCATCCAAAGAAGACAATAATCTTCATCCAAAGAAGACAATAATCTTCATCCAAAGAAGACAATAATTTTTATTTAATCTTTGTTCACATTAGATACTACTCTTCACTCAATATATCCAAGACCTAAATCAGGGGGCAACAAACTGCCAGACATGGAGGGCTATGACCTTTGCCCTATGCACTGCCTTAGGCACAAGAGGAAAGACTAACTAACTAACTTCATTAATTATGTCGCATGTTTCTTAAACATCAGTAAATATCTTCTTCTTCTTTGCATTAACCAGCTGTAAACTCTGGTGGAAAGTTCTGGTTGTTCATCCACTTCTGGACAGTAGTTCTATTCCAGAACCTGAGTGTTGCGTGTGCATCTATTTTACAGATCCAACTCATTGGACTGCAGGTTCCTAGCCTCTCAGGCAGATGCACTCCAACTTCGAAGGAAGCTCCCAATTAGTTGACTCTTACGACATGCTTTTGGGTAGGCAGTGGGTCTATTCTTGTTTTGCCTATAACAGGGCCCCGGAACCCACAGAGTATAACAGTAACTAGGAAGGGGCTTTGAATGAAAACTTCAAACATGTAGCAGAAATTGCAGTAACCATGCCACTGTCTTAAAACCTGTCAATGTTGTTGTTAAGGATGTCAAAAGTGTCGAGTCCAGGAAATGTATGAGTGGAGTAGGCCAAATTCGTGACTTCAGGTAAGGCACACCAAGTAGTAGGCACACCGTGTAGTGACCCCAGAGTCGACTGCAGCCACTGAAGGTCTCTAAGGAAAACTGCAGATTGACTATGACAGGCATGCATCCCCAAACTGGCACTTCATTTGCTGATGAATTTCTTTAGGTTTAGCGCATTCACTCATAAAATAACAGGCAACAGAACGCTGCTTCTCTTTGGTGGATGTAAAATGGGGGCAGCCATCTGTAAACTGTCATTATGGTGTCACTATGTTCATCTGCACCGTGTTGTCACATGCTTAAGACTCTTAATATTCTATGTGAAGACAATTGCAAAGTTCCCCTTCCCTTCTCCAAACCCAGATGCCATCAAGATGTGCAAGAATTGTATTGTAAGCACATCTACAGAGAGAGAGAGATACTAGGTTGTTTATAACCAGGTCATGGTTCAAACCAGTACAGACAGACCGGTTAAGATTTCACATAAATAGGGGGAGTGGCAAAGTAGAGGGGGGTGAGTGACTGAGGCCAAGCCATTGACTTTGGTTGTTGAAAAGTCATGTTAACCTAAGTTGTTCAAGAGCTCCGTTGTCTTGTCCATTGAGATTTCCACTCAATTTGTGTTGTAAATAGTACACTGTTAATAAAGACTTTGGTAGAAACATTTGGCTGTATTTGTGCATGTATTTTTCATTCCTTCTAGCTTTCTAGTTATAATTTGTGTTGTTTTCTTGTTCTTCCTGTTCACTGGCTATAAACTCTAGCAGAAAAGTTTTGGTTGTTCAACCACTTCTGGATTTTGGTCAGATGGGCCTGAAAAAGTGAGCTGTTCCACAAAAGACTTCATCTGACTAGTGTGAGAGATGATGGGTTTACTGTTTTTAGTCGTGGCAAGTTTTTGCTTCTGACAATAGTTAGCCATTACTTTTTCCTTCTTATGTAGAATAAATGGATATCTCCTATATCCCCAAGTAAAAGTAAAGTAAAAGTAAAGTCGGGAGATGTGAACCAGAATCATTGCACACGGTTATAAACCATAAGTGCTCTGCCACCAGTACCAACAGCTGATAAGAAACTGTTTGCCTGCGTCGCCATTCGCACGTAACTCGAACACTGACCGTGGCTGCAGCGAGTCGCTGCTGGATTTGAAAGCGAGCCTACTATCGGCTGTGCTAATGCAGCTCAATGATATATATATCCCCAAGTATAAGATGCAAAAATATAGGGTCTAAAAACTGCTTGTGAGTCTGTATACAATGGTAGTAGATTTCTACTGAATGATTTGTTAGAAAATATCCTATACAGAGCCTCATTTGGGAATGTGAGTTCAGGGCACACGTAGCAGAAAACACAAAGAAGGTTGCTGCCGAAAAGAAAAGAAAACTTTCCGTCATACTTGGAGGCTTGACATGCTAGCTTCAACCACTTGAGTCAGCATTAACAAACCCTTCATAGTTGCTACGGGTGATGAATGGAACCAATGGATGAAGTCTTGTGGGCACAATTTGACACCAGCAGGTAGAGTAAAGAAACCAACTACAGGAGAAGTTTGTACCTGGGTGAACAGATCCTGGGATAATGTTAAGATTGGGATTGTTGCATTCAACAGGAGTGGCATTCCAAATGTCACAGATGGAACTGAGAGTGAGGCAGTATACAAAGACAGTGATTCGTCATCGGACACAGATTAGGACAAGCTAAAAAAAAACTATCATACAGATGAAAGTGTTGACAGTGATGGGCAGTTTTCTGAATTCTATGATGAATAAAAGATGAGTTCAATAACTTTATGTAATCATATTATTTTTGTTTCAAAATTTCCAGTCCCAAAATCAAAGTGCGTCTTATATAATGGATCATCTTATATTTAGGGAAATGCAGTTGTTCTGGCACTAAGTTACTACGTTTAGTGCACGGCATGACAATGTGAGCTGCAGATTTACTTTGGAGTGCTTTTCGACTCTGCCGACCTGGTTTGTGTTGTGAGCTGCAAATTCAGAAAATGGCGAGTAGCCTGTTGCCACAGAACTAACAAATGGTGGCACCTTACAAGATTAACTGCATGTGCAACCATTCATTTGTTGTAACTGCTGCTTCCATCAATGCTAAACTGCAATTCTAGTATTGGACTGTTTGTGTCCGCACTTCTGGTGGCTACCTCATGCATTTAGAATGTATGAATGCTAGTGGATTTGCTGAAACTGCAGTCTCTGTCAATTTTACCACAATGAACAGTGATGGACCTTCTGTGTGATTGTTGCTGGCACAGGCAGGAATAGAGCAACTATGAGGTGACTCATGTTCCATTAAGTTGCAACTGCAATTACCTGATTGTTAAACATCAGCTAAACAAAAAACTTTACTCCACAAATACCATAGTTTCTAGCCAGACAGATCTAACAGATCTTGTCTGTGGAAAAAACACAAGTACCTGTAATTTCTTGAGTCTGAGGTGAAGGTGCAAGAACGTGGCTGGAGGTCTGGTGTCGACAACTGGAGCTGCATCTCGAACCTGACAGAAATGTACAAACATCACACTGAGATATCATCCTCAACAATATTTCCATGTGGGTGTGTGTGTGTGCTAAGTTATTCTATGAGCATGATCCAGTGGGTCGAGGCAGGCTCTGTAAACAGATAGTGGATTGAGACATTACGAAACCCCACAGTGCAAGAAGTTATTTTCATCTTCATCCCATGGCATCTGGGCATTGTTGGCAATAAAAGAGCTGATAAACTAGCTGGTTATGCCTCAGTTGCAAATGACGTTGGCCTATAGATTGTGCCCACATTGTTAATGCCCTCAGAAATAGAACAATTAGAGGATTTTGAGAGCATGGAGTCCACATCCGCATTTTTGTCCCTGAATTAACTTAGTTGAATAGCCCTGTCCTAGACCATGTTATGAAAGTCAGGAGACAGCGGAGGATGGTGACTGACTAATAAGACATAAACAATCCCAAATTGCATGTTATCATAATGCACTGAAATGTAGAGGGGGTAAACAGTAAGCAGGCTGGCTACAACAAAAAGATAGAGCTGGAAAACATCCTATATGAAGAGCTTGTCAGTGTGTGCTGAATCCAAGAGACCTATTTGCAGGCAGATCAGATTTTTAAAGTAAGAGGCACCAGTGCTTCAGATTTGATAAACAGGCAGGTGGAAAGTAGGAGTACTTTCCCTTGTAAAAGACAGTATCCATTCATCTGAGAAGATGTCTTATATGGATTGAACTGAGTACCAACTCCTGAAACTTAAAATAGACAGAATGGAATAGACCTCCTGAACTACTATTGCCCCAGTGACAAACCGTTAAGTCTCAGCTCTGTGCCGGAACCAGATACCAACTTCATTGCACTTGGGGACTTTAACAGTCATTCACAGAGCTGGGACTATAACCATCATGACAACAGGGGTGAAGAGCTAAAAACATGGTAAGATGACCAATCTCTGATCCTGGTCACCCCCCCCCCCCCTCTCCCAGATACTCCTACTTTCTACTCCAGAAGATGGCAGGCAACTATGTTCTATACTACATGATGACACCACTTTTAATTTTAACAACCCCAGAACATCTAGAACTGGCCCTTACACCTATCCCCCTACCCCACAGCCTCAGTCTAGGTCGCACAAGAGTCTAAAGTATGTCCCATGGTGCTCAAAGCTGCTAAAGTAAAGTTGCTGGAAATTGTCAATGTTAGCTGGGAGAATGGACTGGTGCCTCAAGCATGAAGATAAGCCATCGCAGAACCCATACTAAAATGCATCCCTTGACATTGTTAATTTGTATGCAGTTCAACATTCATTCCATCGTGTATTTGGTACGTTTGAAATAGTTGAATTGTTGGTAAACTCAATTCTTAAATCAAATGGTGATGAATGGTGACACTAGGGGATGCAATTCATTTTTTTTAACGACAACCATTAGGGACCAATTCCTGTTTATGTTGATATGTTAATGTTCTTTAATATTGTTTGAGGTTAGGGGTAGGGTTTAACCTAACTATAGCCCAAAACAATATTAAAGAACATGTCAACATAAACAAACAGTTGATTGTGTTACATAGGGTCGCCATTTGTAGTGTTGCCCCTTTACAGTTTAATTTAGGATTCTTTACAACATGTATTTGGAAGAGGGAAGTCATGGATGGCTCAGGCAGAAGACACAATCAGACAGGTTTTCATCCTTGAGAACATTAGGCGAGGAGAGGAGTGGTCAAAGTGCCACCTTTCTTCTTCTTCTTCTTGTTCACCGGCTGTGAATTCTGGCGGTAAGTCGCGGTTGTTCGTCCAAAATGGACTTTTGGCTTTTACCTTGACCTGAGTTTTGCGTGTACATCCGTTTTACTGGCTTATTAGTTTGCAGTTCTCGCTCCCCGCCTCTCCGGCAGATGTACTCCGACTTCGAAGGAAAAAGTGCCACCTGAACAGACAGACTTGTGTAGGGTCAGAATCACACTGAGCTGGGAATGCAGAGACTGGCCAGCAGGTGTCACAGAGGTGGAAATTCAGCAGTTAATTCAAGATAATGCTCGCTCAGAAGATTTGATCATTTACACAGATGGTTTAGTGTCAAGAGGCAAAAGAAGTGCTTGGGGGTTTCTTAGAAAAAGTTAATGGTCGACGTTTGATGCAGGACAGCCTAGCATATGATACCACATCGAGCTTAAGAATGGAGGTGGAGGCGGTCACTGCAGCTTTTCGCTGGCTAGAGAATATGACACACAGACACACCGTGATTTTAGCTGACTCAGAAAGCATGCTGAGGAAGATCAGGACCAGCATGCTTCGTGCAGAGTGGCATGCCTCGCTGTAGAGGACACGGGTGAGGAGTATTGTGTGGATTTTTTTCACCAGGAAATACCGGTGTGTTGGGAAATGAACAGGTGGACAGACTGGCTGGCTCTGCACAGCTTGGTAGAATACTGATGCATGATAAGGCAGACATGGTTAGTGCCTTGTGGGAGAGCTTGTACAGTTCGGAGGAGCAGGAAAGGCAAGACGGATGTTTATTCAGAATGCTACTGGCACCATTAGTATCGGAACTCTTCCCTGGCTGCTGAAGATGGGGATGGAGCGCTTAAGGAAATGCCCCGAGTGCTGTGACATTGGTTCTTGAATCAAAACAAATTATGTATTTGGAAAATTTCAATTATTTAAGTTGCTGAAAAATGTCGTAAAACTCAAATTTAAACGTGCTTTGAGGCAAACAGCCAACTGGAATGTCAGTTGATATCCCTGCGATCTGTACAATAAGAACCTGATGGCAGTTTAATGTGTATGATGTAAATGTATTAAAATATGTCATAAAGAATTTTTTTATTCTATAAATAATCCTTTATTTTGTTAGATCTCATCATTCTGAACATATTGTTGTATGGTTGCTAAAGTATATGTCCAGAAACAACAAAGTTACAGTAAAACGCCTTTTTTTAAGTGCTGAAACAGTATTTTTCTCTATGATCCGACTGTTTAAATAATTTAGCTTACAAATTAATACCTCAGCTTAACATTGACGTAGAGACTTGAATGAGGTACCGCAAGTGACACGCGACTGTCGCTCGAAAGGATATTTTGCGGCCGCCATCTTTACCGACCGTTAGTCGGAGGATAGCCCAACTATGATAGTTGCCATATTAAAAAATAATCACAAAATTTAACCAAAGAAACTAATTAAATTGCAGATTAAAATATTTACCTTTTTCACATGTTCACTGTAATATTTATCGTCCCACCTCTTTTGGAGAAACTTGTTTTGGGATGGAAGAATAGGATAGTAAGATCGATGCATTTTAAACAGAATAACTGGATGATGGTCTCTAAAGTAAATACCCGTTCATAGATGTGCAGGTGACAATAGTCCAGGTATCTTTGGATCACGTGACCAATCGTTTGTCGTCGTCTAGGTAACCACCCCGGAAGTCTACTAAGGCATATGAATAATTAATGAGCCGGGTTATTTAGCCGTTTGATGGAAAATGTTACAGACAGGTTCTAAGAATATCTTGGGTAAAGAAAAGAACAAATGCATCCATACTTCAAGAGCTGAATATTGAAGAGGGTTGGCTAGTAAAGACAATAAAACAAAGAAAATTGAAATATTTTGGTCACTTGAAACGTCATGGAAGTCTAGAGAGAACAATAATGGAGGGGTATATGCCTGGGAAGAGAGGAAGAGGAAGGCCAAGGAGAAGATGGGTGCAGGATGTGGCAGATGATCTCCAGATGGGTGTATCAGACGCAGGACATCTTGCTCATGATAGGAAGGTTTTCCGGAGGGTTGTTATGGCAGCGAGGTTCCGCGAGGGACATGCTACTGAATGAATGAATGATGGAAAGAGCAAGGCATCCAGGACCGGGTTGTCCATTGGTTCGCCGGTAGACGATTTCGTCGCCGATCGGGACAGTATTTTGTGACTCTCAGAGCTCTCCCGGTGTGCAGTGCTAGGTCATTTTATATGGCACATAAAACCTAGTCACGATTATTACCTAAAGCGTCATCTTCGTGAAAGCTGATTGGCGATTTTTTTTTTCTTTCTGGCAAAGCACCTACCTTCAAGAGCAAGGAGAAGGAAAAGAGCTACATAAGAGAAATAGCTGAGCCATACGAATAGGACAAGACAAGAACACTGACCTGATCCGTGATTCTGCAGATTGTGTGAGATGGCAACCGACTAATAACGGCACGGAACAGGATAGTAATGATCTAGTGAACAATAAGCTCAGTTAACTAAGCCGTCCGTGTATAAGTAAAGTAAAGGATCCGTATGCACGCCTGAAGAAGTATTGGGTATATAGGGCTAGGCCTTTATTTTATAGACCAAACGTCACTCAGTGGGTGTTGTGGTCAGTATGATGCTGGCCGCCTTTACTTCCCAGGGCTTTGCCTGATACCCACTCAAGGCTGCGCCGACCCGGGAGCCAAGGTCATTTTTGACAAATGTCATGCCCCTGTCTGGACCCGAACCCACGACCTTCCGATTAGAAGCGAGCGTCTAGCTTTAAAGCACGGTGGTTCCCCCGTCCGTTTATTACCGGGAAAAGTAACAGAAACACATAACAGTAAGTGGTAACATGACTAGCATTCTACACAGGGCTTTGCGTGAATGTGAATGAGGATAATGATGAAGAAAAGAAGGAGGAAGAGAGGCAGTGAGAGGAAGCAGCAGCAAAAGAAGAAGAAGAAGATGGAGGCGATGAATTATATAATTAATTATAAATCTTGAATTACGTCTTGCTTTTGCAAATGAATGAATCAAGAACTGACATCGCTGAACACAGGGTTTTCTCACACATGCTCCGTTCCCATCTTCATCAGCCAAGGAAGAGTCGACATGCTGATAGTATAGTACCAGTTGCCGCCAGATTAAAATTACACCCATGTTTTCCTCTCAGTGTTGAACATCTTCCAGAACCTCTACGCCCCCCCCCCCCCCCCCCCCCTTTTACGGTTGAATTAATCTTGAATGATTCCGTGTCGAATCTGTTGCAGTGACCAAGGTTGGAGTAATGGTGTTTGGGTAAAAATGCTTAATTTCAGATATGGGCTATCCTTTGAATAACAGGCACATATTATTGCGGCCGCAAAAACACCCTAACAGGGCCTCAGTCACATGTAATTTGCGAACTTCCAGCAACTACCAACACCGACGAGAGTATCCTGCATGCCGCTCACGCAGCGTGGATTGGGGCTAAACTAGATGGCAGGGACTCACGAGCAGCAGCTTCTGCATCTCCTGCAGCTTTGCTCGTGAATCCCAGCCATCTGAGTGCATATCCATTTTACAGATTTAGCTTATTTGGATGCAGACTTTTTTCTTCGCCTCACAGGCAGATGCACTCCGACTTTGAAGGAAGCATCCCTAATTAGTTGACTATTATGGCATGCTTGTTAGGGAGAACCGGGTCTATTCCCCCTCCCCAACGCCCATGATGGGGCCCCAGAACCCACAAGGGAAAGTCGCCTTGGAAGACAAGCTTTTTTATTTTTGTCTGGTAAAGACCATTTCCACAATATGAGGTATAATGTTTATATCAAGCTGGCCCCTATCTTTATAGGTCAAACGGGACTTAGTGGACTCTGTTCCAGCATGCCAGCCACCTTTACTTCCCTGATCATTTCATCCCCACTAAGGCTTGGTCCATCTGAAAGCCCAGGCCAATTTGTAAATGCTGCCCCTAAGGGAATTGTAACTTTTGACCATCAGGAGAAGGTCACTGCAGCTGTAACTGACTCCAGGTCTTCAGGTGGTTTGGGAAATGAACAGGCAGATAAACTTGATGGTTCTGCCCTATTTGGTGGTGAACTGATGCACGACAACACTAACGTAATTTGAAAGGGTCCTTTTGGAGCGAGTGAACATCACAGAGGCACAAATAGATCACCCTGGTCTGAGGAAACTGGTGTCGCTGGAACTGAAAATGGAATCTGGCTGACGCTTAACACTTAGGGGAATGGCAACGTGTATACACAATCAGACTGTAACTAGTGTCATTGGAATTCTGCATTTGCTGCTGAAGAGAGGACATTGTACTTATGGGAATGTTCCAGTGCCGAGATGCTGATTATTATCATTCATAATTTTGACCAATGGGACAATAAGCGTGCTAGCTACTGGCCCTCTAAAGCTCAAGGAAGGAGCACACAAACAAAGGAAGATACGCTTCAGTGGGAAAACTCAAACAGCCGAGCAACACAGCATTTAAACAATATCAACTTCATTAAAATAATGACAAGGAGGACTGGAACAGTCAAGATCGCCAGTGTCTGAGCAACAAATAGTTTAAACAATACAAACTTCATCAAAATAATGACAAGGAGGACTGGAAGAGTCAAGATTGCCAGTGTCTGAGCAACAGACAACAGGGCTTCGTTAAAATAGCAAATGATAAAGAGGAATTAAAAGGCATGATCAAGACAATAAAGACTACCCATAAATACACACAAACACGCATGCACATACACACAAACACGCAGCACATACACACAAACACGCATGCACGTACACACATATATGCACATAGACAAACATGTAACACACAAGAAAAAACATTGAAGGCATCCATCATACATATATTTACTTCAATTTCAGTGACAAAAACAATAAAGTTTTTTACACATGTCAACACAACCTAAACTGGATACCTGGAAAATACTTGGAAGTAAAGGCAGCTGATATACTGCTTCTATTACTCAATGGATACCTGGAAAATTCTTGGAAGTAAAGGCAGCTGATATACTGCTTCTATTACTCAATGGATACCTGGAAAATTCTTGAAAGTAAAGGCAGCTGATATACTGCTTCTATTACTCAATGGATACCTGGAAAATTCTTGAAAGTAAAGGCAGCTGATATACTGCTTCTATTACTCAATGGATACCTGGAAAATTCTTGGAAGTAAAGGCAGCTGATATACTGCTTCTATTACTCAATGGATACCTGGAAAATTCTTAGAAGTAAAGGCAGCTGATATACTGCTTCTATTACTCAATGGATACATGGAAAATTCTTGGAAGTAAAGGCAGCTGATATACTGCTTCTATTACTCAATGGATACCTGGAAAATTCTTGGAAGTAAAGGTGGCCATAGTCATGCAGATCTTATCACAAACGGGATACTAGGAAAACTGTAGAAAGTAAAGGCGGCCACAGTGGTGATGATCCCATCACAATTGGTACCAGAAAAACTTCTAGTTAAAGCGACTAAATGCTGACCTAATCACTCACTGGCGACCCAGAAAGTTCTTGGAAGGCAGCTGATGTCAAGCTGACCCCATCACAGATTGCACATCCCGGGAGCATTCCTGACAGTCAAGTTTGGTGACATTATACTGACCCCCATTACACACTGGAAGCAAGGAAGTTTATTGGAAGTAAAGGTGGCAAGCCATAACAAACTGAGTGCTAATTTTTGTTCTATAAAAATAAAAGGCCTGGACCAGTGACCCATTAAGCCTGAATTCGTGTTTAAAAAAAAAGTGTCTATTCAGTGAATAATTTCAACTTGTTGGGGGTCATCGTAAGCCTGAGGTTTCAGGTTGTATTAATCGCCACACACAAACTGTGCAGGCTAAGAATTGTATCTCTTTCCCCCCCCCCCCCCCCCCCCCCCAATGAACAAATCTCCATCCTCAAGCAAGGGTTGTCTACAAAATACAACTGGCTGGACAACAACGTGGCTGCTTTCAGGAATGCATCAGTTAAGTATTTTGTGTTTTGTTGTTGAGCCTTCATGTCTGTACATGTGGTTTTGTTGATTTATGTAATGTGCAGATGAAGGCTCTGTAGCTGCAGTGTTCCCTTTCCCTTTGTGTTTGTTACATTGTGAAGCTTCTTTTCATCTGATCTGATCTTTTCATGATATATAATACAAGCAATAAAGTCATATAAGGATATTGGACTAGCAGCCACATCATCATTGTCACAGGAGACTCACATTGTCTATTTCTGCAGGTCCTCTTGGGAAAAGCCCATACATGACTTTTTAGCATCTTGTGCCCTGCCAGCTGGTGTCAGTGATCATGCCTCTGCACAAGCTGTGACCTCCAACAATAACCATTGCATGACACATCATTATCAAATTATCAATCAGCAGGTGTTTTGAGGAACATCGCTCTGGTCATGACACGCCTGAACATCTCTTTCTGTAGCCAATTCTCCAGCCCTATGTACTTTTATGATCAATGCATCTTCAACGTCCTGTATCCACTTTCACGGAGGTGTGCTTTTGCCTCATTTTCTAGAAACTGCATCTTCCATTATCACTAATCTCTTCAGGCTTGCATGATGT